TTTGATTATATTTTTTTTATACTGTTTGCCCTTTTAAATTGAAAAAAGTAAAACAAAAACATAGTAAATAGAGGGTCTAAAAACTATACAGAACTTGAATAAAAAAAGATATATACTAAAATTATATATACTCTCCCATTAAAGATGAAAATAAATCATCTGCCAGAGAAATGGCAAAAAGAAATAAATAAAAATAGTGCCATTAATTTAGAATTTTGGTTCAACAGAAAAATTAATAACAAACAAAAAGAAAAAAACAGGTAAACCTGCATGATAGAGATCCTAAATTAAAATGCTGAGGGAATCAATGCAATCAGGTATTGCAATCAGATTTCTACTCCTGTTGATGTTTGTTGGTGAAATGTTCATGAGCATTCTGGGACATACTGGGACTGTTTTTTTTTTTTTTATCGTTATTTATTATATCACATAATCAAAATCAATATTTCAATTTATCAAATCATAATTTTGTATGATTCCTGTTATTAGAATTACTGTTGTGAATTTACCCTTTTCTTTATGGTGTGGAGTGTGTCTAAACTGTCAATCACATTTTAAATACAATTCATTTTAGGATTGCAAGTCCAAAGAGGGAGAGGTGTTCAAGGGGAAGGAGAGGAGCAAGGTTTTAGGTCAGGAAAAGCCAGGTAAGTTTCGGTGCAGCGCATCCAAGCAGACAAAAACACAGAAAGACAAAACAAGAAAGTCTCAGATAAGATGTGTTGCCCGTCCAGACAGCTCCCTGGATGATCAGCAGCCCTAAACCTCTGATCCTACAATCGGCCCTGCATTGCTCTAATACGCATGCGTAACAGAGAATTATTCCCACATTGAAATTTAGCAGCAGTGTACCAACCAGCAAAAAAAAGTTCATTTTAACTTTAATCAGCTTTGATTATACTGCTATTCCTTGGATGTAGAAACGGTCAGACATGATTTAAGTTTCCGGGATGTTAAGAGAAGAAACCTCAAAACCATATTAGTCAACATTTATTTAGAATTAGTTACTTTAGTATTAAAAAATGTATGTGTAGAAAATTTTTATTTGGTTAGTTTTTTTTTTCTTGCTTATTGCTTTGAGATGACATTTGGACTACTTTAAATTTTACTGCAATCCCAACTTTCAAATTTCATCACACTTTTTTTTACACCGAACTGTATACTACTTATACTACTACAACTGCTGAATAAATTGCCAATATTATTGGAAAAAACATCAGAGGATCCAATTCTGATTTCTTTAAATTCAGTGAAATGGAAGTGAAATATAAGAAATCTTTATACCCTGATGCAAAACAAAACTTATTTGAACAGAAATTATGAAAGAAGAAGAAATTTCAATAATGAATCCCTTTTAAAAAGCAGACACAATTTTTATTGCAGTTCTTATTGATTTGTGATAACCTTTAAATAATGATAAAATAGAATTCAGTCTTTTTGAGCCCACTTACAGGTATCATAATAATCCCGTTGCTGATGATCTCCACACCAAGCTTAGATCCATTGAGACTCAAGCCATCTTTTGCAGCCAAGAAGGCTTCTCTTGCTTTACGATAACAGGGCATAAGAACAAAAGCCTGGGGGGAAAAAAATGACAACAAAAACAAATGAACATTTAAGATGGAAATAATCAGTCTATTGAACGATCCCTCTAAGGTTCATACTACTGCTTACCATGCGGGCCTGAGGAATCACATACATGTTTTTCTCCTCATATTGAAACCCAAATTTGTAAAGCAGATTGCTGATGCCGCTTTCAGTGTAGCAGCCATCCTGGTACTGTGGCAGGTTGGTTATCAGTAAAAGTCTTGTCTGAAATGAAAAAATCTGATAAAAGAAAAGTTAAGATTAGCTTGGGTTGGAAAGCTCTGTGTGTCATTGCAAGAATGCCTCCAGCCACCAATTAACACAGACACTTTTGCCAGCAGGGTGACTAAATTATTCCAACTATATAAGACCTGTAACTACCTGTATTACGCTAGAGGTAAGTTTTTTTTTTTTTTTTGTCTTTTTGCATATCCTCCTCCCGGTATTTTGCATGATCTGATTATCAGCATATGTTCTGCATATTCATGAAGGCAAACACACTACCGTTAATATATGTGAATCTTTAAAGATCAGGCCCTCAAACTACAGCTCGGGAGGCTGAACAACTTACTTTTGGAGACATGATGACATGATGGGGAAGACAGCCTGTAAAAAAAACAATGAAACCACAGTCAGGATTCATACAATAGATATAAAGGCCAGATATTTAAAAATATTGTAAAGATTTCGTACAGATTTTCTGAGGATGCAGCAGGCTTCCTATCCTCTCTCCAGGAGTCAGACAGAAGTCTAAACCATCCGCTTCCTTTTGGACCAGTTCCTTAGCTGTTGCCTCAGTTCTGACAGATAAAGAGGCCTCAGTGGACTCTACAGAAACACTGCTGACAGATCCTGACTCTGGACTTGTTTGGCTCTTCTTATCAGGAACTTAAAAAAATGAAAACAAAAACTTTTTAACTGTTGTTGCAGAAAACTGATTACATCTTTGTGTTTCTTTTAATAGTCTTTCCTGTTGTTTATTTAAAGACTTGTAAACATTGTAGTAGCAGCAAATGCTAATGTTTGTCTGGATAAA